ATGGTGCCATGGAATTCTGCCAGCAATGCAGCCACAGCATTTCAAGATGCCCCATGCCAACTCCAACTCCCCTTTCCTCAAGGCAAGCAGAGTTATCAGCTCTAGTACTTTTCTTGGGCTCCACTTCTCCTCCTGTGATGTGTAACTTTATATGCTTCAGCACTCACACCACTGGCAAACAAAGCTCCAGTCCAGGAGCCACTACCCTTTTGCCACTACAAAAACATCACCTTTCAACAGGTTAAGTCTTGAGTATCAACAAGGACAAAAAAACTCACTGGGGACAAGGTTCTAAGAAGCAAGGTAATTTGAGTATTTAATAGATGACATTTCAAGCCTGTACAATGCAACTGCCAATTTGATTTGAGAAACAGGCAGCTAATAGACAGTGCCACTTGATTCAGAAACATGCATGTGGCCTGGGGGAAGCTCAAAGCATTACCAAGTCAAAAGCACATACTCACTGATAAAGCATACATCGGACCACAAGGCAAACCCCTACCATTTCTTCAGCAGAATTCCATAATTTTCCTCCTGTCACAACACATCTATAGTGTCTCATCTTGTCTGTGACCTTATTTAGAATTCATTTTCATATCCAGACAAGGAGTGTGAAATTAACTTCAGGATGGTTGAAACCTAAGGCAACTCCCACTGATGTTTCCTTTCTTAAGTGAAGTAGTCATTAGCCAAAGCTTTTCTACCGGGAGACATTCAGAAACAAGTCAAGTATCACAATGTTTATTGATAGATACAAGTATATAAAATCAGGGCATGAACATGTCTTGATAAATTAAGTAGACTTAATTTCAGTACTGTAAGAGGGACCAATTCAAATTTCTCACCATGTCATGTTTCACACCCACAAAAACCTCCTCCAAAGGGCCATTAAACCATCTCTTCAGCCGATCAGTTTTTGTGCAAGTAAACTGTTCCTTTTAAAAAAAGACTTGTGCACTTGCCCAGGCTCAAGGATATTAAAACCTAGCACATAAAGCCCATTACTAGAGGTAGAAATACAGGCAAATATACTATTACGGCAACAACCATCGATTACAGTTAAGGATTCTCTGTAACAACCAAATGGATAATCAAATATTGCAACAACTCAAGTATTACACTGAGCAAAGTGCATTTCTACAGTATTCAGTGTTGCTATTCAGTTTCTAACTTAAAAACAGCCTATGATAACTGGCAGCAAAGAAGACCCTTGCAACAGACTGCTTCTGCTCAAGAACTTATGATGTAATTATTGCATGCTGCTAATACACTGTTATCTAAACATTGAAGATACTCTAAAATATTTTTATTGTAGACTATTAAGACATACTACAAAAACCTTTTGCAGAGAATATCCTACTGACATACTTCTGCTTTAAATATTGTGAAACATTACAGCGGAATGAATTTTCGCAGTGGTTAGGTCAAATGCAGTTACATCATAGCAACAGTATGTTTGCACAATTTAAGGCTTTGGCTGGTTCTTTAGTCAGCTTCTTCTTCAGATTCCTCTTCTTCAGCAGTTTCCAGCCAGGTTAACCACTGGTTTACCTGCAGTTACACAAAATTAGTTTAAGGGAGCAGGAATTGTTTCCTCATTAAGTATTTCTGCAAAACACTCATCTTCCCCCAGCTCATTTTAAAACACCTTTCAGCCACACTTCCACTACAGGCCTCTAGTAAATAGGAAACATTTATTTCACCTTGCTTTTAACTCCCTCCTAATGAAATATTCCATTAAGTTTCTAGGTATTCACAAGTCTTAGACACTTCAAAAGCCTTCTCAAACACTCCAGTGCAGCAGAAAAGACAAAAGAAGTCTCTATTCTAATGCTAGCAGATTTACCTGGAATAAAGCTTTGCCTTTCCCTGGAAACTCTTGAGTAATGTCTTCTTTCCATGCCAAGAAGGCTTCTTCTTCAATGATCTCCATGTCATAGAAATGAACAAAGAAGCGCAGTAACATGCCTGTGAAAGTCAATTTAAACTTGGTTAGCTTTATAACCTTCTCAACAGCTTACTGCATTTTAAGGAATGTAGGGATAACCCAATTCAGGCAAGACCTCAATGCACTTACCTTTTGGAAAATTATTGTTGTAGCAGTGCACCTGGAGTGCATATAAAGCACTCACTTGCAGATCAACATGGTCATGGAGGAACTTCTGCATCACTGGCTTGAAGGAAAGAAGCAGCTGTTTTTCCTGCTCGAGCTGCTCTTTAGATGGAGCAGATGAAGAATCCGATTCGTCACTGGGTGGGTTTACTTCACTAGAAATATACTGCAAGAAACTGGACAGAAGGAAAGCCGAGCTAAGTTCTGTAAACTCAAGAGATCAAAGCGCTTGGTATTTCAAGTTCAGATAGCTATCACTGCAACTATTCTCCTGCTTACACCTGCAGCGAGGAGCAAGCACAGGGACTTGTTTTGTGCTTGACAGTGAACCACAAAAATCCTTGTTCTGCCTTTGTTACAGCTGCACACTCTAGAAAAACACATGGGTCTAGACCTCCTAAAGAAAACATTTCACACTGATGCACGCATGGATGCTTGCTTTTCTTCTCAAATACAATGGGGCTTTACTGAAGAAGGTCCACTGAGAACAATCTATCTCCCCATGCACTGCATCTCGGATTTCTGCAGAGCCACTATATTTGAGCCTTTCTAGATTTAGAGCCTCACTGGTAGCTTAACCAAACAAGTACTAAAACACATCAAAACAGCATCTTACCTGGTCATCAATATATTCACAAATCCCTTATCTACATGAAGCTTGGGTGAAATGTTATCTTTAATCCACTTATAGATGGCTTGAGGGGATGGATCTGATTTTATCTGCTTTAGCAGTTCCTTCTCCAGTTTCAGAAGCGGGAACAAGAAGCTAAGCCCCTTCCCTTCCAAGATCTCCAGCATGCGGTCCTTGTTCTGGTCAATTTCTGCCAAAGAAATAAAGATAACGTGTAAGGGCTTCTCAAGAGCTGTAAGTGATGGTTCATGGCTCCAGCCACCCCTTAAGAAACATCATTCCTAACACTAATGACAGCTAATTCCACCAAGATAATCCTGCATGTTGTTTTACTCTGGCATAAACCAGAACAACATCTCGCTTACTCTAGGATCAGATGACAGAAGAACTCTGTGGCAACACTCACCTGGTAACATTTTCTGCATATTCACTTTGCTTTGTTGGAACAATTCTGTTAGCCATTCACGGTCTTGTAACTTAGCTAACTGCTGAAGACAGAGCAGGAAGAGAGGGAAATGGGTGCCGCTTTCCAGTGGTTGAGCCAGTTCGGAAATGCTCACCAGGTCTGAAATAATGGCACGGGCTGCAAACTGTGCTAAGTAGGATTTCACCAATGGGATGTCCACCTCCAGTTTGGGGCACTGGTCCAATACATTCAGGAATGCCTAAGAAACAGTACACACACAAGATGAAATTCATAAGTAATTCTGTTCCTGTGCAACATACTATTCACAGTACATTTTCTGCAATCACTTGGGAAGAAGATCCCAGGTTCCAATTGCCCAAACACTACATGTCTTCCTTTCATTGCTTCTTGTGCCCCTCACAGGTTCATGGACTGTTTTTTACCTCCTCAGATTAACAGGACTTAAATATCTGCACACTGCCTTTACAGCAGCTAAACACCATGAAGAGCCAAGAAACAAGGAGTGCAAGATGATCAGACCACAGTACCTGCATGAAGTTGTCACTGGTGGCTATTCCCTCCTGTTTGAGCAAGCTGATCAAAGTACTTGCTTTCTCTTTGTCCTCATCTGATCTATCTAGGGATTGAAGGATTACTTTGCTCAGCATCTCAGGAATGAAGTGTTTTGGAGCTCTCATTTCTCTCACAGTATTGACAGCCTCATTAGCATTTCCATTGTTCAGATACTCAGTCACAACAGCCTCCTGGAGAGGAAAGAAGTACAGTTAAACATTTTTTCTGAAGAACACATCCAAAGCTCCAAGACTCACTACTGCATGCTAACTTACAGTTTGTTTCAGTAGCTCTTCCTTAGAAGGAGGTGGTTTCTTGGTGGTCTTTGCAGGCTTCTCTTGTATAAGTGGTGGATTTGTTTTAAGACCAAGTTGAGGCGGCTGAAAGAGACCAGAATTTGTTTCTTTGTAGCACATCTACCTTTGCTTATATCAAGTTTTACAAATACAAAACATAAAAAAGCAGATGGAACTCAAAATTAGTTTACATTCTCCTCCCAATTCCTGCTCTGTGCATCCCCTTCCCCAATTACAGATTAAGTTTTCCAAGCAGGAACAGGAAAGTATAGCAAACAACATACAGGAATTTTTTGTATTTACCTGTCCCAAAGGCGGTGTCTGAGTGCGTGGTGGTTGAGCACTGGGAGGAATCATAGTTATCTGGGGCTGAAGCTTTGGCACTTGGTTTTTATTCATTAGAAAAGACTGAGCAGGTCTCAGGCTAATCTGTAAACAGTAAGTCGAAGAAAAACTCAAACTGTTTCAAGTATTCTGACCAACAGTACACAGCCACGGACTCATTCCAACTGATCTCACTGAAGCATGACTCCATTTCTACAATAGTAATACTCAAGTACAGATTAAAAGCCGCATATGTGTTCTGCAACTCCCCCAAAAGCAAGTTACTGGCATTTAGTTCAACTGGTATAAAAACCTGGAAATGCTCCTTTTAGATGCAGTATGTTAGAGACCCAAGAAGATAATCAGCATATTTGCTGATGTATTTTACAGCCAAGACAAAACTACCAAATTGCTCAGAAATTGGGATACAAGTCTGGTTAACACTCAAAATCACAATGCAGTTTACTCTGCATTTGAAATTTTGCCTATTAGCCAGTTCTAAACAAAAGAAAACAAACAAAAAAAAATAACCTGGTCCAGCACTTCAGGGTTTCCTGAAGTTTTAATTAAATGTACTGTTATCAATAGGATGCATGGGAACTGATGTCAGAGTAGTGTTCTTGGAACTGTGTGGGAAGGAAGGGACACCCCAAAAAATTGCCCTCATATCTCAGTCTTGCTCATAGGACGCTGGATACCCTAAGGAAAGCAAGGAGGGGTAAAAGGTGAAAGAGGAAGGGACAAAGAAGGAAGAGAATGAGGAGGAGGAGAAAGAGTTCCAGCATTAGTCCTCATAATAACGCGTCTTGCTATAATCATTGGGCAATATTTAGAATAGGCTGTAAATAATGTAGGCATGTCATGTACCTCATCTGCATTAAGCTGTCCTTTCTTAGAAAACCGAGGTGGCATATCCTTCGACTGTCCTTGTTGCTGGGATAAGAGTCCCTGATTCTGGGTATGGTAGAGTTGGCTTTGCCCCTATTTCAGAAAGGGAGATATAGAGAAAGAAGTGCAGATGATGGAGTGGCGTACATCATATGGTAAGTAGTACCAGAGGGACCAGAGGAACAAAGATTCTATTTGCCAGGAAGGGAGAAAGAAGGAGCAGGGGTGGTGGGAGAGTATCATCTATCCCTAAAAACAGGGCTATCTTTTAAATAAAACACACCGTTCTGACCCACCAAAGCCACATGCACCTTTTCTTGCAGTGAAAAAAAAACCAAAAAGTGTCCTTCTTGCATCTTTTGTACAATTCAAAAAGTGGTTTAGAATTTTTGTATCAGCTGAGCATCAGTTATCAGAATCAATTCTGAATAGGTCTTTCAACATAAGCAGACTACAATCCATAACATACGCATCTCAGGAAGTGCTTCTAAAAACAAGCTCAAGTCACCATGCCAACATCTTCCTTACCTGACTTTTCAGAAAAGATTTGCCTAGGTCTCCAAACTGGGATTGAGCAGAAGGCATGAGGTGACCCCCATGGCCATTGAAGAGTTGGTTTGAACGATGGCGTCCCATGGTGGGTGAGAATCTATCCTGAATAACCCCTGGACCAGTACCAATTCCGCTACCTGGATTAGCAAGGAAACAAATTACTGACTTAGTTCCTATTCAGCACAGCAGGGCCACAGCCATCCCAGCACCCCTGAGGTGTCAGTGTACCTGGCATTTGTCCAAACATATCAGCAAGCCCTCCGAGTGGGTCCCTGTCAAGTTTCATCCTGGGTGGCATAAAGGGTCCCTCCAGAAAGAAGTCGCTTCGCATCCCTTGAGACATAGGAGCAGGAATAAAAACTCCCAGATCCTTTAAAACAGGAATTATAATTTTGGTCAGTTTTGAACAGCAGTCCCAAGAAAGGCAAGTTTTTAGTCCCCAACTACAGAAGTCCATCTGTTTTTCATCCTTAAGCCAACTGTCACTCTGTGAGAACTAAACTACTCCCAAGTGCACAGCACCAAGCCAGGCTCTGGACCTTACATGCAACACTCACTTTTACTGCATCTTGACGGATTTGATTGATAGTCTTTGGTCCATTGTCAAGAAAAGCTTTGCGAGGAACCCAGTTGTGTTCTCTCAACTCCACAGTATCCTTGAAACAGAACAGGATATTAGGAAAGGATTCAAGACAATTTTACAAGAAAAAAACAGAAGGAAGCCATTTTATCATCATACCTGCAGCAGGAAACGAATCCTTGCTGGCAATTCCTTACTTGACATCAAGGAGCGCATACGGGCAAAGTACTGATCCATTAAGGACTGGGGAAACAGAAGTTACAAGCTGGGATAATTCTATCAGTGCCTTGAGTGTTTTCACTCAAGACTGTCAAGACAAAACAATGCAACAAGCTGCCCTTTCCTGCCATCTCCAGCTCCTTGACGAGAAAGTTGAAAGATCTAATGCATCAAGGTATTTGAATCAGAAACAAGCAACACAGCCAAAATTCTATTCATTTTAAGCTAACATTCCAAATTCCTGTCTCTCAAATCACTTAGTTTCTCAGCACATCTTTTCAAGATGTGTTTAGAAAAACAACAGTCTCACTTATATGTCCTGATGACCCCAACTACATCTTTGTGAAATGTTTAAAACTGCTGTAAACTTTTAAAACTGTTTCAAAGATTAGCTTTTTTCTATTAAGAGAATTGGTCTAGGAGCCATAGTTGGCACTCTTTTCTCTGAAAAATCAAACCTCTGTTTTGTACTTATGAATACTGAATACAGAAGGTTCAGGCAATCGAAAGTCTTAGCCACACAATTTAATTAGGTTAATGACTGCACTGGATAGGCACATACCTTGGCTTTCGCATGATCTAATCTAGGTCCCACTGTCCTCATTATCTGACAGAGGCACTCCAAATCCTCCCCCATATCTTTGAGTTGAACTCTCTTCTTCTTTTCCAAAAGCTGAAAAATTAAAGGAGAAACTTAGAATTTAAAAACCTTATAAATACAAACTTTGTACACTGACACATACAAAAACATTGTTTTGTTCTGAAGGCAAATGGACTTAAAAACTGAACTTTAGGAACTGCCAATTCATAAGTGTATATACTTTGAAGCACCTATGACACACTTCTGTCTACACCAAATTACATTTTCCCTTGGAGACAAATCCTATGGCTTTGAATAAAGCTGATTTTACTTTTTATTCATGCCAAAAGACAAAAGTAGGCAATGGATAATAGTCAAGAAACATTTATGTGGCATTTTATGCTCCTGCTCTAAGACTCCCAAAGCAGCATTAACATTTGCTCTTTTTTTTTTTTTTAAGGTTTTTTGTGTTTTGGTTTGGTTTTTTTTAAGTTTAAGCTGTTTTGCTCCTAGCCCCCACCCAATGTGAATACTCACTGTTTTGATGCACTTATGAAGGATAGATTCATGAATAAGATCAAGCTTGCCAAGTTCTCCAATGAATTTGATGTTCCCCAGCATCTTGATCTTGGCAATGGCTCTCTGTTCCTCCTCCTCAGGGAGGAGGGGACCATCATGCTTATCATAGACTGGAAAACAAAGAAGCCTGTTTTACATGGCTGTGGGAAAAGACGACAAAATAGATTCAGTAGTAAAGCGGTTCTAAAACTTACTATCAACATTTCTGGTTCGGTTTTCAAATTCATCTTGAAGTTTAGATATTAGGAGGCGTCTGAATGTCTACAAAAACAAAGAAAACAGTTAAGCTCATCAGGGCAGCTACAAATGCATGCAAAATTTACCATTCCAGATTGAGAGATGCACTCACTGTGCTTTGCTTCTGTCCTGGATGACTCTCTGCTGATGGGCCATCAAAGTTGGGTGCATCTTCTGCCAGTCGCAGACATAGTTGAGCGTACAGCGAGCTATACTTGGGCTCTTCAAGGGCTTTGTCTACGATCTACAGAAATTCAGGTTGAGCAAGGCAGCAGTAGGGTGCTTTTGTTATCAGCAAAGTGAGTTACAAGACACAGATGGATTATACTACCACTCATTTAAAGTATCCTGTTTTCTGCTGAATCAAAGACAAACAGTGTAGTACAACACCAGTCTTAATGCTGAAGCAAAGGACAAAAACCATTGCATGCTACTGAAAAGCCTGTATAATCCTTGGCTAAAAAAACATGAGTTTATTATCCCAACACCTAGCTTAGTATCACCAATCTGATTTCATTTTAAAAAGTGATGTAACAGTTACATCAGTGTCCCAGGAGGTCACCAGTGGTAGCCTTTCCACTTGCTCCTCGGGAAAAGAGGAAAAGGGGGAGGGCCAAGCTAACAGGACAGCTAACTAGCATCTTAGATTATTAAAAAAATAATTATAGCACCCCCAATCACGTTTAGTGATTGTGGAGACTTCTGAATGAGAAACTTGAAGCATTAAATCTACTTCCTCCCTATTAGATCCTTTTTTACACAGAAAGCAGGGGTGGAAGGTGGTGTTTGAATAATCCAAATACACAAAAGCATTCATGCTACCTCTGTATCCCATCATAACCAACCAACCCCCTGCTTTTTAGCATGCAAGAAATTTGTAGTTATAAGAAATGCAACCAGCTTACCAGCAGTATGACCCCTTTTAGGATGAGCTTAGATTCTACACCCACATTGAGGAGCTCAAGGCATAGCTTGTCAAACTTTTCAGGAGTAAGCTTATTTAGTATGCTACAGAGGAACAAAAACCAAAAACACAGAATATACAGATTGTAAGCATGCCATGAGTCACTTTAGACTCAACTTTTCTTTCTACTAAGTCTATTAAAAATTGAAAAGTGCAATTTCCATTCAACTGGGTTTTTTTTGAGATCTTCAGAGTGTGAAGTATCACTGAAAATACTAACCTGCTTACAAGAATTATTTTAAGTGTTTCTTGCTGCTATGTTTTCAGGTTGGTTCCTTGCTAAAGTCAACACCTCCCCCAAACTCAAGGCCCACATCTTCCTTTCCTCCAGCTCATCTCTTATGTACACATTGTTATTGAAAACACAAGGAAAGAAGTAATTTCTTTAAGAACTTACCCTCTTACTTTCCTGAAGATTGCATCATGTCGTTCTTTGTCGTTTGCGGAGTCGTCATCTCGTCTAGTGCTTCGTGAAGGAATCCATTTCTGAGCGTTTTGCCCTGGGGTTTTCCCCAGGAACTCGCTACAAAATTTTGAAGAATAGCGTTGTTAGAACAGAAACAAGTGACTGAAAGAACTGCCCTTTTAACCTTTCAGTGTTGCCTTACTCAAACCAATTCCATTACTTGCTTTATTAAGAGCTCGCAATTGCCCCTACCAACACTGCAGCATCTGCTGCACAGGTAAGTACTCACTCAACAGCAACAATCCCTGGCACCCAAAAAACACTCTTCACACTTTTTAAGTTAAATACATGAACAAGCCCATGAACATCCTATCGACTGTGGGGTACACTTTCAAGGGCACAGACTGGAAAACACTCAAAGGTCTTTAATTCAGTGGGTGTTTCTGGTACAACTTTAAAGCTAGCCTATTTTCAGTTCTATATTCACTATGAAGCATGCTCTGACTTTGAAATCATGCAAATCAAGAGCAAGATTACATACCTGTTGCTGGCAGTCTTGGGATAGTGCTGAGGTGCACCCCTACCACCTCCTCCGCCTGAAGAAGCACTGTTAAGAACAAACACGGAATCCTGGTAAGTCCAAATAGCTCAGTTTTGCTATGAACATAACACTAATTCAAGATCTCCTCAAAGGAGATTTTCTATTAGGAACTACTCATCAAACAAATAAAAGGTACCTGAAACGAGAAGCACCCCCTTCTGCAATCGCACTCTCCACTTTGGCGGCTTGACAACGAAGAATCTTCAAAAGAATAAAATTAAATTGACGGGGTAGGGAAAAACAAAACCTAGAAAGACAAACCAAGCATTCATATTATACTTGTTTACTCTGAGCCATACCGTCTCAATTTAAAAAGTACAGATGTATGTTTGAGAATGAGAACCCTCCAACACCGAACTTTACAACAACTAAGAAAACTTTCATTCATGCAATACTTGGGACAGTCACAGAAAGGTCAATTTCATCATTTTAGCCATGTTTTCCAGCGAGGGTGAGGGGAAATATACAAGGGAATCATGGACTGAGCAAAACCCTCAAGTTTACCCAAAAGCCAAGAGTCCTCGCAGCAAAGAACTAAAGTACTTTTTTTTCTGATTAGAAAGCACAATGAGTCCTTTTTTGACGTTATTTAGAAACTCTGATTTATAATGGCACGACAAAGCGGCCGAATTCTAAAGTGAAAAGCTTTAATCAGACAACAGAACACAAGCTTAATGTAGTAAAAGGCGCGTATTCTGCGTCCAAATGGCGTACTAAGCTACCAAATCCACCCACCACCTCAACTTTCAGCTTGCATAAAGAACCTCAATGCACTGTTCACGTAGCAGAAAGGCGAGCACGAGGCCAGAAACGCCCGGGGGACCGAAGCCTGCAAGTGTCCCAGATGCGGCCGGAGCCCTCCCGGAGCCGAGCGCGGCC